ATTTGAGTCCAATTTAACTTCCTCTGCTTAAGTCGGTAGAGCGTAATTTTTTGCGTTTTTTGGTAAAAGTACAAGCTCTGTAACTGCATTTTTGCAAAAGTTATGGATGTTTGAAGGTTACGACTCTCAAAAATGGCAACGCTGTTTCCCTGAGGTTCTTGCAAAAACCCAACTAGAGCTAAGCCTCTTTCTACTATTACTACTAGCCCACTAAGTTTCGTACATTCCGGGCTAAGTACACTTTTCGCCTAAATGAATAAACCCTCTCCTTAAAGATAAAGATAAAAATGCACATTTCTTTAAATGACCTTACTAGTAGCTTTCAAACGAGACCAAACGTTTGATAATCGAACGAACGGTCGGAGAGATAAAGCGCATTTTACGCCTATGAAGGGCGCCTTAGGGTGGAGTGAAAAACACTTTTTTTCGAAATCGCTTGACGGCTATGTCAGAAAAGTTGCCTCTCGTAATATAAACGGACCCGTGTTTTTTCTTTTTCCGAAATTTTACCTCCTTCTGTTGGCACGGTCCACCTTAAGTTTCGGATTTTACAAAAAAATCACGTTTTCCCCCCTAAAAAATGAGTTAGCGCCGTTTGATTTCAACTTCACGTCTTGGAACTGACGTATCCCCATGATTTCCATACACCAAGCTCATTTATGACCGTTGCAATGTTGCCGGAAGTACGTAAATTGTAAAATGTTTAAGCGCTGCCGCATCGCACAATTGTAAAAGAGGTCGTTCTAAAAACGCCGATTTTGCCCCCCCCCCCCTCCCCCGCCCCCCGGATTTGACCCAAACTTTGCTCAGATGTTGTACTAAGTGTCTCCGATGCTTGGGCAAAATTTTAGCCCCCTCGGATAATTAGGGGGAGGGCAGGGTCAGGTGGGCAAAGTTGCAATTTTTTAAAACAGTAAAAATCGATATCTCGCGAACGCTTTGAGTGTAAGTGTTGCAGTATGCGCTAAAAAACGTTAAAAAATATTCTCTGCAAGAATATTAATGCTGTTTGCACGGTTGCGTAATTTATCGTAGTCATAAATCGATTTTTTCGATTTTGAAGGTTCTACTTTTTTTTATTTTTTGTCTCTCCTCTCCAGGCGATCGTTGCTGCGTGAATAAAAACCTGTTGAGGTGATTCTCCATGAAATTCTGCATCTACCACACTCTGATTGACATAAGGGGAACGATTTTTTCTACAGTTAAAGGGGATTTTCTGCGCGTTCCCGGTCACACGTTGGCGGCATATCGGCGGCGCTCCATACCGCGCGGGCGAGGCAGAGGTTGGCAAAATGGTCAAAATATTTATTGGAGGGGAAGGGGGGAGGATAAATATTTTTTTTTATACTTCGCTATACAGACTACCCGTACCAGGTTATTTTCTCGGTTGGTTTAGGTAGTACGAAGTGGAGGACCGCGGGGTTGAATAGGGAATGGACCCCAAGGAATCCGAATTTCATCATCCCGAAATCCCCCATTGCCTCCTCGGGGTGGTAAAGAAGGGTCACGATCCCAAAAGGCGGGATTCATTGTGGCCTCCCTTTTACCCCCCAAGGTAGGCTAGGGGGGATTCGAGACCATGCAAATTGGATTCCTTGGGGTCGATTACCTGGGAAATCACCTTTTACCGGATAATCTACGTCAATTTTTGACCAGAGGGTTAAGGAGGAGGCCACTGTCCCCAACTTTAAGAGACCATTTTGGGGCGTTAAGTGATCCGATCTGGGATTCTTAGGGGTCAATTTCACCTGACATTTTTCGTTCTTTCCAATTTTAATGCAATAAAATCGCAATTCTATCGGGGACCCCGACTTTTGGGATCGTGGACCCCCTTTACCCTCCAAGGGGGGCATGGGGGGTTTCGAGATGATGAAATTCGGATTCCTTGGGGTCCATTCCCTATTCAACCCCGCGGTCCTCCACTTCGTACTACCTAAACCAACCGAGAAAATAACCTGGTACGGGTAGTCTGTATAGCGAAGTATAAAAAAAAATATTTATTGGAGGGGAAGGGGGGAGGAGAAAATATCGATAATTACAGCCTAAGGCTTGAATAGAAGGCCCTAGCGATGACACAACCTCTGCCTCGCCCGCGCGGGATGGAGCGCCGCCGATATGCCGCGCGGGATGGAGCGCCGCCGATATGCCGCCCGCGTGTGACCGGGAACGCGCAGAAAAATCGCTTTAACTGTAGAAAAAATCGTTCCCCTTATGTCAATCAGAGTGTGGTAGATGCAGAATTTCATGGAGAATCACCTCAACAGGTTTTTATTCACGCAGCAACGATCGCCTGGAGAGGAGAGACAAAAAATAAAAAAAAGTCGAACCTTCAAAATCGAAAAAATCGATTTATGACTACGATAAATTACGCAACCGTGCAAACAGCATTAATATTCTTGCAGAGAATATTTTTCAACTTTTTTTAGCGCATACCGCAACACTTACACTCAAAGCGTTCGCGAGATATCGATTTTTACTGTTTTAAAAAATTGCAACTTTGCCCACCTGACCCCGCCCTCCCCCTAATTATCCGAGGGGGCTGAAATTTTGCCCAAGCATCGGAGACACTTAGTACAACATCTGAGTAAAGTTTGGGTCAAATCCAGGGGGGGCCAAAATCGGCGTCTTTGCGATCGACGGATAATTGAGATTTTTGACGATTTGATGATTTTTTTTAGGAACGAAGCAGTCACGCTTAGAACCCCGAAAATTTGAGATGATAGCCTCCTAGCACACAACTTTTGATACACGATGAACGTTTTGCTGTGCAAGATGCGCAAGTATATTTTAAAAATTAGGAAATTTGACCGAAAACGCCATTCAGGCGCAAATTGGATACATTTCAGCGAGTTGACTGATTTTTTAAAGTTAGAAGAAATATTTCTATCGTCGTAAAAACTCAAGATAAATGACTTAGAATATAATAGTTTTGATATAAATTACACATTTGAGCGTATAAGACGCGGAAGTAGTTTTTAAAAATTCGGAAACTTGACCGAAAACGCTGTTTTGAAGCAAAGATTTATTTCGGAGAAATTGATTTTTTTTTTAAATTTCGAGGAAATCTTGCCAGCCTCGTGTGGGCCGAAAGCAGTTGACGTTTAACAACATAGTTTTAACAAAAAGTAATAGTTCCAGCCTACGACATGGATTATTTGTTTATCGAAAAGGACTTCAATAAAATAATTAGAATCATAATGTTTACAAAGTGACTTACAATATGCTGTGATTGAGCGATTAAAAAACTAATTAATCCGTTATAATAAATAATTACCCGGGCCAGTGACGAACTCCGGATCCTGGGCATCGGAGACGAGAGCACTGCCACTAGGTCAACCAGCCCATTCAACCTTTAGGTCACTCAGATCGTATTAAAAGGTGCGTGCACAGTAGGCTAAACTTGAGTGCATGGCTGGTGCGAAAAAGCAGCATTTTTAAAAATTCATAACTCAAAGACGGCTGAGCATTGGCGCCAAAAAAAGAAAACAAAAGAAGAAAAAAATACAGGTTCTTATATTTTCCTTTTCTAACTTCCTACCTTTGAGCCCAATCTGAGAAGGACAATCGGTAGTCTCCCCATGTATATGGGGGAATAATGTTGAAATTTCGCAGTTGATCCTTTCAAAGACTCAAGTACCAATACATTTTTCCTCTCTTTCTATTCAAATCATAAGATAATTTCCAAAATGACTACAAGTCGATTCTAAATTTTAATGCTCGTAAACATTTAGTTTCCATAGCTTAAAGATTCAAGCTGGTCAACTATAACGGTTTTCACAGCTTTTCTCAAATTCTCATTTCTGTTGCTTGAGTCCTCTTGAGAGGGACCAAATTAATTAATCCTAACTTAGCTTCTAGGAATCAGATTCCCAAATTCCTTCATCCAGTTCGCAGAGGAACATCTGTGAAGAATGACTAAATGGCAAATGGAATTGCCAAAGACAGTGACCGGTGCAGTGAGAAGTATTGAAAACGGATTAATATTTTCCCCTCCTCAAGAGTATTTGTCTGTTCAATGCCAGCCATGTACTGAAAATTAGGATTTTAATCTTGTAAAAAATAAAAATTCACTCTGAAAGGAGAGGTTGCGATTGGGGCTGAAATCGGCCCCTCCACGAGATTGGGGTATTGTTTTATATTCGGCAGTTTACGATGCATATTTTACAGAAATAGTCGGGTTTTGTAAATACTCACATTTTTTGGCTTCTAAACAGGGGCTTAAACTTGGCTCTAGAGTCCAAATTAGCTAAAAATTCGCGTTTCTTGCGGTTCTACCTCAGATGTCGATCTGGGTCCAGAGGGGACGGATCATGAGCTTCAGATCTGTTGTGAAGGGCACCTCAAGCCGTAACATACGAGGATATAAGCAATCGTCGTCTATGGGCTCAAGCTCTATGTCAAACTTTTCAGCCCAAAATAGCTGAAAATCCATGCTGTCGCAGCTGTACCTTAGATTTCGAGCATGACCAAAAGATAGCGGGTCATGAGCTTCGAATATGTTTTGAGGGACACCTAGACACGTAACATACGAGAATATGGTCCACAGTCATCTTTTATGTCAAGATTGAAGTCTGAAGTAGAACCAAGGAAAACATGGATTTTCAGCTATTTAAAGCGGATACGTCAGAAAAGTTCGATTTTGAACTTGGGCCCAAAGGTGACAGGTGATGATATTCTCGTATGTTATGTCTTTAGGTGTCCCTCACAACATATTCGAAGCTCCTAATCTGTCACATATGGACCCAGGTCGAATTTTGAGGTAGAACCGTGAATAACGAGAATTTTTAGCTATTTTCGGCTTCAGAGCCGTATTTGGGCCCCTGTCTCAAAGTCAACAAATGTGAGAATCGGAAAAACCCGACTATTTCTGTAAGATGTGCATTGTCAACTGCCACATACATAAAAAAAATTCCCGATTCCGTGAAGGGGGAGGGGCCGAATCGCAACCTCCCTCTGTACCTAATTTTCAAACCTAGTCATGATGTTGGTCTTCTTTTCAGTATTCTAAAGAGTGGCTGGCAAATGAAATCAGGAAGAGCTTTCAAGGTCAAACTCCAACCGACATGTCTATGGAAGATTTTATTGTCTCAGTCAGTGCCACTTTAGAATCAAATCACTCAAATGATGAACTTCAGAATGAGGTATTTACAGGTGGTTTCAACAAAGTCTCTATGAACAATTCGTAACCCCCGAATCTGAAAGCGTGAAACAACGGTGGAATACTTCAGGAAAAGACACGTTGCAAAATTGACAATGTCGGGCCCCCCTACTAATTAGCACCAAACGCTCAGAGCTAACAATGGATCACTTAAGGGGTCTGAAAATGGTCAGGTCTCTGACCTAGACCTCAAGGACTGGGGGGAGCAAGTCGAACATTTTCAAGTGCCCATAACTTTCAATTTAATGAAGTTAATCCATTTTCCTTGCAACAGATTCACTGTAGAAGGTCCTACCAAGTTAAGCTTTAAAACTTGAAAGAAGGAAAGAAAGAAAAATCAAACCAGTAGTTTATCTTGATTATGTAGCATGGTGTCCAAGATATTGGACTCCATAAACGGCTCGGAAAAATCTGAAAAAATTACTGCATGATCAGAAGACATTGTAGTTTCTGAAAATGCAAGAATTAGAAACAGGTTAACAAGCTCATTAAAGTGAGCATGGAGTCCAAGATCTTGGACTTTGTAAGCAACCGAACATTACATAGCTGAGCATGGAGTCCAATATCATGGACGCGAAGCTACATTACCGTTTAGCTTAATTTTTCAGGTTTTTTTTTTTTTTAATTATGAATCTTTACTTGAGCGCATCGCAGTTAGAGCCACGTACATGTTTTTTTAAAACTAGACCCTCTATGCCTCAAAAGTACCAAAGATTAGCCAGGGAAATGATTCTAAAAGTGTAAAGGTCGTTTGATGTTGGTCTGATGACCCACTAATTGGTTTTCTTAGCACTATAAAGGGCCCTAGAGTGTTGCTTATCAACGGTGTAAGTCGGCAATCACATAACTTGTTTAGACTTCCTGTCACACTTTATTTTCTAAATGAAAAATTACTCAACTGCAATTCTTTAAAGTGCCATGATTTTTTTTCTCTGTGCGAAGAAAATTCTGCATAAACTTGAAGGAACAATGTCGATTTGTTCTCCTTAAAAAAGAAAAACATAGAGGTGTAGATTTTCAGACACTGTAAACGAGATATGTGATTGCGAACTTATGCCGTCGGTTTTTACTTCAGAGCAGTGAGTTATCATGAAGAAGCGGTCGATTTTGGATGAAATGTCAAAGTGCCCCTCATCATATCAATGATAATTTTTGTACAGGGAAAATGTCTCCGTAAATGTCATTATTTCATGGATTCTTCGAAATGAAACCCATTTTGGCCGCAATTTTTCAAGAAAACAGTCCAAGGAGCTTTTCTAGAAATGGCTAAAATCCATCTTATTTTGAAACACAAATATCTTGCGGATAGAGCACAGGAGGGAAAAACACTTAAAATTAATTTCTTAAAATAATCAATCGCTCAGTACACGATATTTGAACAAAATTGGTGATAGTTGAGTTCCAGGAATAGTCTTGTTGACATGATATGACCCAGTATTGATCGCTGGCAAAAAAATTGATGTGATCTTACATAAACTGTCAATCCAGTGAATTGTTTTTTGGTAAAAAAAGTACCCCTTTCAGTCTCATGTATGTGCTACGTTGTTCAGCTCCCCTAACTGCATTCTAACATGTTTTTTTTTCTCTCTTTCTTTTTTTTTTTTGCTTGGCAGCTCTTCGATCTAATAGGTTTTGATCATTTTGAACTGGTGAGCTGTCTTTTAGAACATCGAAATGATATTGTTAATAATTGTAAAGTGGAAGAATATGAGTGTAATCAAATGAATGTGGCACTGAATAATCGTGGTAAGTCATTTTTGTGCTCAAATCATGTTCGCATACCTTATCCAACAGTTTTCATAAAGTACCCTTCATTAACAAAATCAGACCTAGGAGGTATACGAGGATCGTCCAGAAAGTAAGTTAACCTATTTAATATCTCCTAAATGAAGATAGACAAAAAAATCTGTAAAAAGCGTTGAACCACTACTCTCGGCTTTTCAACACATTATAGATTTTTAAATTTGGTTCAATAGAACTTTAGAAAAGTGGATTTTTCTGAACTCACCTCCTCTCCAAATTTTCATGGAGTGCCATCAGCAAATGAGCTACTGTGTCTATCGCTTATCGCAAAAAAATGGCTTAGAGGTGGTTGGATTTCATGTAAAATACGGGAAGCGCATATCTTCATCAGAAAATTGCAGGTTCATTCGATAACAATGTTGAACAAAAAAAAATGAAGAAAATGTCTCCCGGATATGATGAGGTGAACCGTATGTGTTTTCAGGCGCTGAATTCGAATAAAATTCCGTTTTTTCCATCACCCTCCAATTTTCCGGAATAGCTGATTTTTCTAGGGAAAATGGCTATTTTTGGTATTTTTTTTCAATTGTTACCCCCTGCAGAATGTAGATGAAATTTTTTTCAGCTATGAGATGAGACTTTTCCGATGCGTTTTGAGCCGCGGAGTCCAAAAATTACCTTCTTTTTTCCTAGCTCCTCAGCTTTCCGGAAAAGCGACTTTTCCCGGGAAAATGAGCAAATTTGTCGCATATTTGTTGTGCATGTAATTTATTCTTATAAAGGAGGAGTATCGTTTTAGGCCTTTTCCGGCCCCACCTGGATTTTGCTGAATGTTTCATATTTTCAAAGTACTAGTTCTAGGTAGACTTTATGCCAAATATTACACCGAACGGAGCCCATGCAAAGGTGCAACAACGCCTCAAACCCAGAACCTCGGCATCGAAAAATAGTTATTTTCGTCGACTTTTTCGACTGTTATAACTCTTTCAGCAGATGATTCCTACGTATTTTTTTGCGTACTTTCCGTTTCTGGCCTTTTCATAGGCCTCCCATAAATTTTAAGGGGCCTTATGGCCCATTGTTGCCATTTTTGGCCCATTTTTAGGGTTTTTTTTCAATTTTACTCACGCAGAAATCAATTCAAACCAAGAACCGTGTACGTTTTTGAAAAGAACGCAAAAAAATGAATAAAAAATGTTCAGTGTAACTTTTCCCTACGTTGCCAAATTTTCGAGAAAAATCGTCCCTAAGAGCCAATAATGGCAAAAATTCGAAAAATTGCCACGCTTAAGGTTCAAGAAAGTGGAGTACAACTTTTATATTGACGCACGTAACAGCTCTTACCTATATATACAACATATCAAAAAATTATAGTTGTACCTGGATTCCCACGATGTGAAAATTGACCGGGATGTCGATTTTAGCGGCCTTTCTCTACTTGAAGGTAGCTCTTTTGAATGTTTCTCGACCTTAGTCACCCTCTATGGGTGAGTACTATACGTATTTTTCTACGTCCTTTTCATATCTGGCCATAAAAATGGCTTCATGTGAATTTTAAGAGGCGTAACGGTCCATTGTTGCCAATTTTCACCATTTTTTAGGGGTTTTTTCAAGTTTACATGTGTAAAACTTAATTTAATCTAATAACCGTGTACATTTTCGGAAAGAACGTAAAAAAATACCTTAATTGTGATTTGTAACTTTTCCCTACGTTGCCAAGTTATCGAGAAAAATCGTCCTGAAGCGCCAAAAATGCCAAAAATTGGATTAATCATCACGTCGAGGGTTCTAGAAAGTGAATTATGACTTTCATGCGGATCGTGGGACACTTTCCCCACGCAGTTTCTGTTGTTTGGTATATTTGGCCTGTAGCAAGCATCTTGAGAACCAAGGATTATCCCGAGGTTACAGGAATAAAGAGGTGAGCTGGAGTGAAGGATACGGTAAAACCACCTTGAGGGTCCGTTTTGTCACGTTCATCTGAGCCATTACATGTTTTGTGAGACGCACTGCAATTTTCCATTTCCGATACGTTATTTGTAGTGAAATAAAACTAAATATTCACTTCCTGGAATCTTGGACGTGATGATTAATCCAATTTTTGGCATTTATGGCGCTTCAGGACGATTTTTCTCGATAACTTGGCAACGTAGGGAAAAGTTACAAATCTCAATTTTTGTATTTTTTTACGTTCTTTCCGAAAATGTACACGGATTTTAGATTAAATTAAGTTTTACACATGTAAACTTGAAAAAACCCCTAAAAAATGGTGAAAATTGGCAACAATGGACCGTTACGCCTTTTAAAATTCACATGAAGCCATTTTTATGGCCAGATATGAAAAGGACGTAGAAAAATACGTATAGTACTCACCCATAGAGGGTGACTAAGGTCGAGAAACATTCAAAAGAGCTACCTTCAAGTAGAGAGAAAGGCCGCTAAAATCGACATCCCGGTCAATTTTCACATCGTGGGAATCCAGGTACAACTATAATTTTTTGATATGTTGTATATATAGGTAAGAGCTGTTACGTACGTCAATATAAAAGTTGTACTCCACTTTCTTGAACCTTAAGCGTGGCAATTTTTCGAATTTTTGCCATTATTGGCTCTTAGGGACGAATTTTCTCGAAAATTTGGCAACGTAGGGAAAAGTTTCACTGAACATTTTTTATTCATTTTTTTGCGTTCTTTTCAAAAACGTACACGGTTCTTAGTTTGAATTGATTTCTGCGTGTGTAAAATTGAAAAAAACCCTAAAAATGGGCCAAAAATGGCAACAATGGGCCAAAAAATTAAAATTTAAATTATTAAAATTTATCCGAGGCCTATGTAAAGGCCAGAAACGGAAAGTACGCAAAAAAATACGTAGGAATCATCTGCTGAAAGAGTTATAACAGTCGAAAAAGTCGACGAAAATAACTATTTTTCGATGCCGAGGTTCTGGGTTTGAGGCGTTGTTGCACCTTTGCATGGGCTCCGTTCGTTAAAATATTTGGCATAAAGTCTACCTAGAACTAGTACTTTGAAAATATGAAACATTCAGCAAAATCCAGGTGGGGCCGGAAAAGGCCCAAAACGATACTCCTCCTTTTCCTGCACCCTCGGTAGAGCGATTCTTATGTAATTTGAGCTGCTAAATCCGAACATGACCTCGGTTTTTTTTTATCACCCTCTATTCTGGGAAGGCCGATTTTTCTGAGCCTAAAATCGTGTTAAAGCTTTCCTGGACTCAAAGTCAGGGTTGCCAGCAACCGGGAACAGTCAGGGGAAAAAAGTCAACCGGGAAAAGTCAGGGAAAGTCAGGGAATTTCGGTGTTGGTCAGAGATTTTTCTGATTTTTCGTGGAATTAGGCGCGGGCGGTCTCGGGCTCGCGTTGCGGGATCAACTGACTACTGCGTTCGATTGCGGAGGATGGTGGCGCTCTCGCTCGGCTTCGCGAGGAACTACCGGCATTCCGACATTCCGACCATCGCGTCGCGTCGGACCTGCACGCGCGTGTGAGGGTGTGTGTGTGCGCGTGTGTTTACGTTTGTTGAAATTTTGTGTCTGTCGGGTAGATATAGATGACATAGGTTAAAAGGCGGAACGATATTGGTTGGCTACGTCTTACCGCTTCTTTATCGAGCCTTTGGCAGATGGAATGGACAACATACTATTGGAAACTTAGGAGGTGTCTTTAGCTTGTCGTGAGTTCCACCCGACGTAGGCATGACAAAGCAGGGATAAGACATAGCCGACCAATCACGCTCCGCCTTTTAACCTATGTCGTATATGTCTACCTGACAAGTACAAAATTTCAACAATCGGGCTGCTGGTTGGCATGCTGGCTTTTGTCCTGTCTTAAGTCTAGTATTAATAATTGAAATGTACCTCCAGCCAATCTTTGTTGATTTTACTATGGTGCCCAAAATCCTGTTACAACACTAATTAAGTCAACCAGGCTCAATTTCAATTTAAATGCATCGTGGGTTAATTAAAACTTTTCTAATTCTATGTATTAAATTTTTGCTAGTGGATCATTTTCCAAATTCAAAACCGCCCTCTCAGTTCACTTTTCAAACCAAAGAGGAAATAACTGCTGCAAAACTTCAAATGAAAGAAGCTAAGAAACTTTCTAAATTGCTCAGCAAAAAAGAAGTCGATGAAGTGGTCCTGTTCAGCAAAAAAAGGTGATTTCCTCATATTTTTAAATAGCCACAATGCAATGAAATATTGCAACTGTATATGGGGACTTATCTGTAACAATAGCGGATGTCGAGTTTTCACATTGTGAGAAAATCGCGTTTGAAGATTTCGAAGCTTTGCACTTAGAGAACACCCGTAGAACCGAGAGGATTTTTATGAAGATTATCATGAAGAGCAACCCTTCCTGTAAGAAGCACACGTTTTCCGATCCATGTAAGTGAAAAATTGAAGGAGTAACAGCGATTTGAAAAAAATGTGACATCCGCTGTTTGTATTGAAAACGTTTTTTTAAGCATGAAACAAAATTCTCAGGAGGGTTAAGGCTGGTGAAATGATTGAAATGAACCAAAAGTAAGTCAATGGTGAGTCATTTAATACAATTGAACAAAAAACCAGACCGTTTGTAACTTCTAGAACAAAAATAAGGAACAAATTATATAATCAGTTAAAAAATCAACAATTTTATTCTGGCGAAACAGTCCCGATACGTTGGTATAATTTGAGTGTCAGCTATAGCCCATGGTCGGTGCACGGGCAATTATCGCAAGTGGATTTGAATCTCTACCATGTCCTGCCGCGCCGGCGGGGGAGAACACTGGATTCTCACATCTGCTGTTTTTAGAAATAACATGGTTTTCAGAGTTCATATCTCGCCGAAAAATTGTCCTGGAAGTCTGAAACTTCGCACTGGCATTCTTGAGGGTTCCAGAATTCGAAAATACCGTTTGCCCTAAAAATGGCGGATGTCAGCGACCGCTGTTGTTACATATAAGTCCTCATATTGACAAGTATATTAATGCATCAAAATTTATATGTTATGTGTGAAAAAATGTTTCTGTCAAGCTTCTTAAAATGAGATGAACTCCCTTCTTGAGTTTCATTCTACTGAAGTGCATTTCAAACTTTCCTTCATTGAGAGAATGTTCAAGACAGGGTAGTCAAATTTTGCAAGACGTACTGAACTCAAAAATTCGATAAATCTGTCGACAACTGTTTTCTCAGTGTTGCTACTGTATGCTTGTCAATCCTGGATAGAAGGCGTAGGTGGGGAGAGCACATTAAATCCAAGATCAAACAACTTAAGACGCAAGAGGATGTACTGGTTGTCGGGGCGTAGCTCTAAGCTTTCCCTTGATACCAAGATTCTCCTGTACAAGTGTATTTTAAGGCCCGTTTAGGGTTATGCTTGCATGTTTTGGGGATGTGCTGCAGATACCAACATCAAACGGATCCAGACGTTCCAGAATGTAACTCTGAGACAGATGGTCAATGCCGAGTGGTATATCTAAAATTCTGATATCCACAAGGACTTAGGCATTGTGTCAGTGAAGAGCTACATTCAGGAACTGACGGAAAATTATGAACGTCGCTTGGGATTTCATCCTAATGTTGAGGCTATTTCCCTCCTTGTCAAGTCAAATGTAATTCGCAGGCTCAAAAGGCGAAAACCTTTTGACTTGGTAACTGATTTTATTGATGATTAATTTTGCTTATCTTCCACTCTAAGGGCTAGTAACTCGTATGAGTGAAATTGAAAGACATTGTCTGTATATGCGTGGTCTAATTTTTAACTTATCTTTTGTATGTACAGTTTTCTTATGTCTCAATAAAAATTTGCCTATTTTTAAGTAACTAGGCAATTGTCTTTGTAGATACTTAACCCTTTTCTTAAGTTTAATCCAAGTTTTCATATTCTCATCTATTCTCATCTTTTTCATCTTCATTCATTTATCATAGTTAACTATCTTATAAGATATTTACGTTCTATATTTGTAAATTAAAAGTGCTAAATTTGTTTGTACAATGATGTGCTAATAAATATTAAAAGAAAAAAGAAAAAAACTTTATGCTTGTATGGGTGATTTCATGATAAGAGGAATAGTAATGTGGCTGTGGGTTATAAACGACTTAGGGCAAAACAATTGAAAACCAAGTTGATAAATCAATAGGAATGATATCCCTGAACTTATTCATGCTAAAAAGTATGATAAATTATTGTTGTATTTAATAATACGAGACTTTCAAGGCCGAAAATGTCTGATCAGTTACGCATTGCCAACCCTGATTCTGAAGCAAAAGAGCAATTTGCGGTAGTAAATCAACACTGATCATTGATTCTTTGGCAATATTTGCCGCAAGGAGACTCTAATGTTCAAGAAAATTGCCATTTTGAACTAAAATTTTATATTTTTATGCAAGAAAAGTCATTAGAAAAACTAATGCCACATTTGGCAATGTATTTTTGCAGTTGTACTAAGTGCAGTGTTTATCTAGCCAGATGGAACCATGCAGAAGTTTCAAAACTGTCATTAAATTGTTCGCTGAAATCTTTTTACCAAACCATTACTAATAAGTCAGCTTTTTCTACAATGAAAACTTTAATTTCTATGAAAACCAGAGATTTTTAGGCCTGTAACACTAATTACACACTACACAAAATCTTCAATTTAATATTATCAAACTAACAGGAAGTCCCCAAAGTTTAGAAAACTTTCAAGGCAGCATTTATTTCACCTCATATTTCAAGAGTTGGCAAGTCTCATCTGTTGAATGAGTCAGTTAAGCTCGGGAGGGATTTGCCTGCAAATAGTCAGATCTTACAGTTTTCGGTACGAGAAGAACGATGGGCTTGTTTAAATTTCACGAAAAATTGTCTCCGCGGAGGTATAACGCTTCCTTTTTAGGGGTCCTCGAAAACGTGTTTGAACCGACCGCCGTGAATCTCCGCATCTCCGCGTCATAAACGGGAAGATGGCGGCGACGAAACCAACCTGTTTACTACCGCCACGCCGCCGTTGTTGACATCACGATTTCTCGTTTGAGGTTAAGTAAGTTCTGTGTGAATGTTTCATATCCTACATACACCTGTATCGCATTCTGATTGAAAAGCTTAGAGAACTGAGAACAATGGATATGAATCTCAAACATAGAAACCGACATAACCTCCAATTGACCAACAAAAACATACCTGCAACGCGTCGCCGCGCCGACGTGTACTCTTCCGCTACGCATTCCGCCGCCATATTGATCGTGACGTGTACATGCGGAACCTACGAGCGCGCAGTTCAAACGCCGTTTTACGCCACCCTAATTTTTGGCACTTTCGAATAAACTTTGCTACCGTTTGCAGTCATCAAAAAAATTTAGGAAAAAAACTGTAAGCTTCGGTCACTTACTACTTTCGAATGACACAATAAAAAAAAATGACTTAACTGACTCGTTATCTTTTATTTCACATTTTCAAGTGTCGGTTTCGTAACAGACACAATTTGGTAGTGCTGCCATGTTTGCGTGGATCTCCAGCAGTCCTGCAGAAGGAGCTGATACCTGTGATTCAATGGCTTGTTTATCAATCACTATAATATTGAACTGAATCAAATTAATTCGTGCCAAAGCTGGAGGAAGGAAGGACCTTTAAAATGAAGCAATAAAATTTGTTTAAAATTGGTGCCCTTTTATTTTTAAGGTGTTGCACACTTAAGTTAGTCCTGTTATTGTGAAATCACCCTCATACTGTTTATTTTTCAGCTATCTATAATCAAACTTTATTAGCGATGTAAAGAATATCCTTTATTTATTTTCCCTTTTACCCAGGCATACAAAGGAAATAAGAGGAGAGGCCTTCTCTGCTTCAACTGTAGCTTTTCGTGAAAAGTTTGCCAGACCTACTGCCGAAGTTATTTATCCAAATGTTTATGACTCATTGGCAAAAGCAAAGCAAAGTTCAGGTTGGTAATTTTTTTTTTCCCCCTGCTTATGTACTATTCATTTTTAATTTCAATTCATTCTTTTGTCCTCTTACAGGGATCACCCTGAGAGTGAGTTTCCCAATTTTATACAACCCAAACACTAAAAAATTAATCAAGCTGGCCACAAAATACCTATAGCGTAAATTCATAGCTTTTAAGCATGTTCTTGCTATTGAAAATCCATTAATACATTTGCCAGAGAAGTGAGAACTTAAACTCTTTGAGGCTACCCATTACTCTAGGGGATTGCACTGAAGTTTTCCAATTTTGTCGTCATAAGTGAAAAGTGTTTTTACATTGCACTGCTTGCACTACAACTTTGTGTGATTTTAGATGTGCACCATTGCATTATATGCTTTCATTCAAGAGATAATGGTATTCTAACGGAGTCAAGTCTTCCAAATACAATTGATGTGATAAGAACTCTCTTTAATTTAGGAGCCAACAGGACTAACAGCCCTGTTACACATCGTTCGTAGGAACATGCAAAGCACTGTATTTTAGAGAAAATTGCCTTCCAAGTGGCATCGTAGCACTTATTTCACACCAGTAGAGGTGTTCAGAATTGACAGTAGATTATACTGAAAAGTAAAAGCAGTGTTTCATGTAGGCAACGTAATGAAGTAGGGAAGGCTTCAGGACCTCAAATTCAAGATTCTACAAAGCTCATGAGCTTTCCCGTCCCTCTCCTACAGTCCCTGCTTTTGTGTGACCTAAATATCTGAGAAAAATAGCCTAATGTGGGTGGTGGATCATAAATAGATTAGCACATTCGTCTGACTAAGAATAAAGTATCCAATCAGGTAGATTAAAGAAAGAGAACTATAGACCAAATTGCTCTTTTTATCTCTGGACATAAGTGACGAATCTATTCAAACTTAGTTTGATTTGCCTGTTTACTAAAGGGATTGCTTGACTTTATTCAGGTTATGTAGCAGGCAAACAAATGACACTACCTGAAGGAGTCACACGGAAAGATAACAAAACGTATGAAGAAGTTAGTATTCCTGTCTCCGAACCGCCCCCGCTCAATGTTGGCAGTAAACTTGTCTCGATCGCTTCCCTTGATGAAGTAAGAATCTCCTCTGTTCTCATATTTCCTCTTTTTCGTCCTTTTCTCCAACACCTTCTTATGCTAGTGGGGTTGCTAAAGAACCAAGTGTTAAACAAAAAAAGAAAAAAAAATGTGGCAGACCTCTCTTTAAAGCTTTCATCCCTGCAAAAAATGTCCCTTTTCCATGGCAATTCTGTAAGCTGAAAATTTCATCATGCCACAGCTTTTGGAAAAAGTAAGATACCAAAACGCTTTTTTCATGCAGAAAAAATTGAAAAGATTATTTCTTCATACTAATTATCAGTTTATGAGTGCTCCATAAAATTAAACTTGCCTCTTTTTTATATTTTCAATTTTTATAATTTTGCACACTTGTAAACAAATAATGATTCCGTTACTCTTTGTATTTATATTCATTCAATTTTGACTAGAAGGCCTCGATGTTGATACGCAGCCCAGGCGGATAGGCTCAAGTTTCAAGCCAAATTAACCAGTGAAATAGAGGTTGATAACCCCATGACAAATTTAAACAAGGTAGATAAAAATGTGTAGAAGTTAGCCCTGCAGATTCAATCTACTGCCTTATCTAGAACCCCGAGGTATTTCATAATTAGTCTGGTAGCATATGTGCATTTGTCTGCAGTATTGTGAAAAAAGTATGTTCTATACATCAATCTCTTTTTCTTGATAAGTAGAATCAGATTTTCGATGGTGTCAAGTTCAAAAATCAATCCGGCGCCCCCTATTCAAGATCTTTTATTAATAATATTTGCTAAAATTTAATACAAGTAATGGGTAAAATTTTCTTCTTCCTTCTGAAATCTTTATGCAAACAGTGCTTGCCTTGCTTATCTGGACCACACGCAAGTAATAGTTTAGTACAGTCTCTAGTGTAAAAAAAGATGATTGTCTGCAGTATTGTGAAAAAAGTATGTTCTATACATTAATCTCTTTGTCTTGATCCGTAGAATCAGATTTTCCATGGTGTGAAGTTCAAAAATCAATCCAGTGTTCCCTATACAAGATAATGCCCAAAAGGGGCGCCGGGGAGGGGGGGGGGTCGAAAATTTTTGAATTTCCCTAATACCCCGAGTGGGATGTCGTTTCATAGGTAATCTTAGTCGTAGAATCCGAATTTTACATTTAAAAAATCCTCCAACCGAAGGGAGGACCCCAATTCCAAAATGACGGACAAAATGGGCCCCTCAATGTGAAAATGACAGTAAAACGCTTTATAAACTGCATATGACGTATCCGCTTTCAGGTTTTCTGGGCCGAGAATAACGAATATGAGGTCATAAATTGTTTTAGATCCGTCAGGGAGGCTCAGGGTTCCCCGCAAAATGGCCGCCGGGAGGTTGAACAATTTTAAATTTCCCTAATACTCTGAGTGGGATGTCTTTTCATAGGTAATTTTAGTTGTAGAGCTCAAATTTCACATTGAAACGATCATCCAGTCGGAGAGGGGGCCCCAAAATCCAACATGGCGGCCAAAATGGGCTTTGAGGAGGAAAAATGACCATAAGTAGCTTCATCTATATATTCAATATTCTAAGGCTTTTTTTGTCCTCCTTCGGTTTGGACAGTTTGTCCTAATTCGATCTCGGAAACTACTGGACCGATTTTCCTCGGATTTGTCTTAAATGAAAGCTTTTAGGCTGTGAATGTGCAGGCACCCCTCGGTTTTTCGATTTGCGCAACCAATGTTGGAAAATTTATCTCGATTTGATAACGACATATTGGCGGTTTTGCCGCTGAACAGTTTGTCCTAATTCGATCTCGGAAACTACTGGATCGATTTTACTCGGATTTGTCTTAAATGAAAGATCCTAGGCTGTAGATATGCAGGCACCCCTCGGTTTTTCGATTTGCACGACCGACGTTGCAAAATTTACCTCGATTTGATGACGAAATATTTGCGTTTTTGCCGCTCATATGGTTGGGGACTTCCCACCCTCTAATTTTCCGTTTCCCTCTCCACGTAAACCCATCCCTACCTGCTGTTAACGCGTGTGACCCTTCCACTCTGGTATGGGTCCTGTGGCAGTATCCCTCCTTTCCTTATGCCGTCTCACTCGGACCACCTGCTACGCATTTCCTTCGTCGCAATGCTCATAATGAGTTCTCGGTTTGTCCATGTTTCTTGTCAGTGCGTCTAGAGTTTTGCTTTCTTGATTTTGTCGTTAGTTTTTTTTTACATGAAAATTACTTAATTTTGATGTGTGTTTTTCAGGAGATAATTTTCCTTTTTACGGCAGCACAGGTTTTATTAATAATTAACTTTTACAGCGGCTTATGTATTCTTCCAAGGGAATCAGTGATTAATCTTCACCCTTTCGCACCGTTAAATTTTCACAAAGTGTTTTGATTTTCTTTTACTTGAGTGTTTTTTATTTTTCAAGGATGTTTCTTTTTCTAGAAGTAGGTGGTTATCATTATTACTTTCTCATTCTTTGTTTTTGAATTCATCATTTTGCCACCAGAAAGTCCTCTAATTACTTAAAGTAGCAAAATTCGGCTCGCAAAGCGAGCCAACAGTCACTTGCGGAGCGAGTGACTGGGGGTCCATGGGGCTTGCCCATGGCTAGCGGCGCAAGCGAGCGTAGCGAGCTGAAGCGGCTAGTACGCCTTATGTGGCAGATGCCAATAGGTTGCGGATAGGTTGCCTAAGTAGGAAATTTGAAATATGAGATAAGAAATTGTTCCTGGCTCAACGGGGAGATGTAGGAGGGTGAAGAGGAGGCCATAGAGCCTTCCATTCTCCCTTAAGAAGCCTAAAATCCACCTTGATAGGCTTTAAAATTCTGAGCAAGTAATTGAAATGAATGTCAGGACAGACATGGACCAGGAATACTTAGTAGCTGGGATGAGTTTTAGAAGAAAGTAGGGTAAATCGCTAAGGATTAAAGCGTGAGTTGGCAGCCCCCTCCCCTCTCTAGACTTGAAGATTTCAATATGGTTTTGCCCTCTCATTATTTTTATCGGTTATGAATTCCTTTCGACATTCCCATCCACACTCTTTTTTTGCAAACAGATTCCTAAGCTTAAACCTCAAATGGCCACTGCTTTGCTAATGAACAAGATAGAAATTTTTAGACGTTCCTCATTTCTAAAGAATGGGGTCTTCCCGATTATAAGAACTGTGCGATTTTTTGTGAAAGTTTTAGGGTTATAAGAACTAATTTAATATTAGCACAGAAGGAACAAAAGTAACAAGGAATGAAAGGGACCAATTAACATTCATATCCAAAGGAGCCTTTCTAGGATGCTTCTTTAAATAAATGGAATTTTCTTCCTGTAAAATTAAGACTATGCTTTTTGAATTGCTGATAAATGAACTGTTCCAAAATGATGTAGGAAATTATAAATAGGAAATTGTACCCCAAATTCACGGTAAACCATATTTCCTGCTATATCTTCACGCTGAAAAAGTCAAAAGAAAGAGTCGAGATTTTCGGTCCTGGGTTCTGTAAGTTGGTAAAACTACGGAAAGCACATTACATACTTAGTGGCTAACTTTCGGCCTTTTTGTTGTATGATAGAAGCTCGAATCAAAAATAACGGATCCAGATTGCAAGTTTTCCAGGATACGGGTCTTTTGACATTTTTTTTATCGTTTTCAGCTTCTGTTTCAGAATACCATGTGAATGAGCAAAGGGGCGCAAAAAACTTCCTTTTCAAACTAAATATGATGATCCTTAAATGTGATCCTCAAATATGATCCGTTTCAAACTAGATATCGATGCGAAATATTTCATAATGTCAAGGATTATTCTGGAAGTAGGTAACTTTCCGAAAGTATCAATAAAACAGGTGTAGGAGGACAGATCATTCAAAACTAAATTCATATTGAAGAACACTTGCCAAGCAATACTTCAAAGCATTGTATCAACATACAGTTAAGTTTCTAAAAGTACCCAAACCCAAACAATTCCTTTACAGCCAAAAGTGGGTAAATGAAAAAACCACTGCAAAGAACTTAATCAAGTAAAAACTTTCGAATCCTTGGTAAAAGAGGTGTTCAACAGTATCTAAATCCTGAAAAGCTATGCAACTGCGGCCAAGATTGGTCCCAGCTGCTATAATTCGGTAAAACTGCTCAAAGTCCGGTATAGCGATGCCTAGTTTTTGACAATGTTACCGAAGTTTGGCTACCGGGATCGAAAATTTCGGCTCCAGCGGTCGAGCTTCTTGGAGTGTGAATGTTACCAAAAATGTTTTACCGCATGGGCAACTTTCCAGAAATACAACTAAGACAGGGATGTACGCCCAAAACGGCCTGAGGGGTCCTGTCAAAGGTTGGTGACAAGGGATAGAGGAGGAGATCAGCCAATTGCCTGATGATCTCTGGGACGATAGGGGGCAATGGTGATTGGGCGTCGCAGAGGGAGAGGCTGCCCTGTGAAAGCGGCTTAATCTATGTATGTTTGCCCATAAAGAAATTCTTAACATTTAAATTTGAATGGAGTAATTTTTGGTACGTAGTAATAAAATATAAAAATATAAAGTTGAATAAAAATAACTCCCTTTAACACATTGAAATAAATTAAGTTACATTTCACTGACCAAAATGAAAACTTAATTGACTTATAAGACAGGAAAATTACGCCTCTGTTGTCTGAGGAGTCATAGGTGTCAGTGCACACTGTTGTACTTTCTTCTTCATCTTCATATTTTTCTTCAAGGTCACAATTGTCGCACAACTCTGGATTATCTGAAGATTGTGCGTGGTAAAAGGTACCTGAAGGAAGGTACCTTTGCACATCTTGGCTCACTTTAAATTGGGCATCCGACAAGTGTAAGGTGGTGCACAACCCTTTTTTGTGCACAGTTGCACCAACATAGCTCCATTGCAACCTCTGAAATACATGCACTAAACAATCTTTCTTGAGATATTACTTTAACTTACAGTAAGTTTCTTGTCAACAAAATTTTTCTTTTTACTTAAAGAAACGTTCTGCTAGCGTTAAGTTCAAGTTTAACTATCAACAAGTTGCTCTTATCGCGCGTCTGTGCGCTCTGCGACACCCAACCGCCACTGATAGCGATCCTACCAGAGCTCCTCCGGCGGATTGTATCTCCTCATTTCCTGCCTTATTCCCTCAATCCACGATTTGGCAGGGCGTCCTCTATGCTTTCTGCCAGGGGGACTCAATCCAGAACCTTCTTAGGTAATATATCATCTGGCATCTGTTGTACATGACCATACCAGACAAGCTGTTTTGTGAAAATGTCATGCGCTATGTAGTTTTCGACGCCCATAATTACACGTATCTTCTCCTTGAGAGGATAAGTTCAACTTTAAAAAACGATACTTAACAAAGTTTGTTTAACTCCAAAAAACTGACTTCAAGTAAAATCCGCAAGGATTCAACGTAAAAGAACTAAATGTTGTTGACAAGAAACGACGCTTAAAGTTAAAAGAATATCTCAAGAAAAAAAATTTTCAGTGTGACCCGGTGCACACGATTTGACTGACAACTTCTCCAGTTTTTTCCTGCCACAATCCAAATCTGGCGGCAATGCCAGGTTCTGCTTAACTTCTTGCATTCTTGATGCCAAATGGACGTCTGTAGGTGACCTCTCAGAAACGCAGGGTCCAGAGTTCCCCTAGTCAATGGGAGGTTTTTATCCTGGTATTGTTTCTTCGAGAAAAGCCACCACCTTACTTCTCCTATGTCTGTGAGAGCTGTTTTTGGAGTAAATCGTTGACATACCAACTCCTCTAGGCATTGTCTAATCTCTTTGGTGAGAGAAAACTCAGAGCCCAACCTCGCGAGAGCTTCCAAGACGTCATTTGCTTGACTTATTCATTAAGATTCTCCACCTTTTCAGTTTACCTTTATATATGAAAGATCTGGTGATATCGGGACCTGAAGGAGCGTGTTATTCCGGAAGAGCAGAAGCTTTCAACAGACCGAGCACGTTAAAAATTGGGATGAGATGGACAACCTTCTCATCCCTTGACCAAGAAACATTCCCACTTGAGGTGTGAGCTTAGGAATCCCCTTGTAAAAAAGGAGTGTATGGGTGGGCACGTCGAAATGAATTCATAACCGTTAAAAATAATGAAAAGGCGAAACCATATTGAAATCTTCAAGTCTAGAGGGGGAGGGGGCTGCCAACTCACGCTTTACTCCTTAGCGATTTACCCTACTTTCTCCTATGACTCATCCCAGCAACTAAGTATTCCTGGTCCATGTCTGTCCTGACATTCATTTCAATTACTCGTCCAGAATTTTAAAGCCTATCAAGGTGGATTTTAGGTTTCTTGAGGCAGAATGGAAGGCCCTAGATTCGATATTTTGGAGTCTTCAACTTGGCAACGGTGCCATAGATGGCAAAAGATTTTGTACGGGCATGAAAATTTTAAGAAAGTTTCATCTTATACCAGGTAAAAACCTACTAAAAATTCTGATCGGTCACGGCAAGGATGAGGGAGAAGAGGTTCCTTTTATTTGTCCCCCATGCCCAGTTTGCTATTTTACCCCTAAAAAACCACAAAAATTCTATAATTTTCAAAAAGCTCAAACACTCTTTTTCGAAATTGGCCAAAAACCCATCTGGTAGTACCTTACTACAACCTACGATTTGAATTTTTGATTTTGAATGGAAATCACACTTTGAAACCTTCATTGTTTCATCAAATTCGATATTTCGGAGTCCGCAACTTGGCAACGCTGCCGCAGGGGCAAAAAATTTTGTACAGGCATGAAACCTGTTTTGCTAGGTGTCGTACTATATCATAAACAATTTACAAGAGGATCAAAAGTAAAAAGAGGGATCGATGGAGGAACTTTCGTAGTGGACCGCAACATCAACCAATCAGGGACCAGGATTAAAATTTAACCTCAGGTCAAAGCATTCGACAGGTGGTCAAAGTACCTGTTAATCTTTCTCAAATTTTCCTTCTGTCGAGCTGAATTTCACCAAGACTTTGTTTTTACAAGAATACATAAGATGCTACGTTTGTGTTTATCCTCTTGCCAAATGTGACCAGCAGTTTGACCATAGGTGATGGGACCAGCTGTTAATCACTTTTTCAATAGACAAGAGCAGGAGCAAAAATCTCCCATTACTGCAGTCCTCCCTAGATGTGATGGCTTCTTATCTTTAAAATGTGTCTCAGACTCATCCTGTTAAATATGTTAAAATTAATAAAAATGAGAATATTCATACCTTAAACTATTTACTGGGGACAAAGATAAGCGCTATATCTCATGATGAAATTTTTTAAGAGATTAAATGTAAAATTAATCTAAGCAAAGCATCTGGATCTGATTGTATTTCAAGCATCATATTGAATCAGCTTCCCAACAAGGCCATACTCTAACTTCATAAAATTTGTAACGTTGTAATCAAAATGGAACATGTCATTTCACAGTGGAAGAGGGCAGATTTTATAAAAATTCTTAAGTCCAATGAGCTATCATCGGCTCCGTCTTCGTATCGGCCCAAGAATGAAACACTTGACAAATCCTGATCTCACTTAAAAGGAACTAGAACTTATTCAATAATGAATCCATTTGTTGGCAATTCAGGCAACTTACTCAAATAGTCTAGGGGCCACGAGGTCACTTTCACGTGCCACCCTGAAACTTTCAGGGTTTCCTCTAGAGTCCCTGGAACACCTTCCAGTAATAAAAATGTCTGTGTCCCGGACAACATGTTCAAAATGGTCGCCATGTCTAGAGTCAAAGGGTCTGGAGGTGCTCCTAAAAATTTACGATTTACTCGAAAATTTTCACAGATACGCAAAATTGTCGCAAGATTGAAAATGTTCTACTTTAAATTTTACGCAGGCTTTCGTCAAGTTTGGACCTCTGAACCCCTTAGTGTAAGAAAAAAAAATTACTTTTCCCCCAAGATGTCGGGAATTTTTAAAATTTTGGAAAAATTTATGTTAGCATTGCCATGACCCTAGTGAATCTAATGCCTCAAGTGAGCGGTGAGAAACTTCTTCATACCCTCTACTTACATGATCCATCAAGTTCAAACCTGCAAAGCCCTGCCGCCTGCCTTTCCCATAAATTTGGCGACATATAAATACCTTTGGATGATTTCCAACTTTAAGTGCGAATTTCACAACTAGAACTACGGAGGCAACGGAACCTTACTCAGCACATTTCTGACAGAATTTTTTTTCCATTCTGAAAGGGTAATTGTGACTGCCATATTGGATTTCGGCCTTATCTTGATGCTTTGGATGATTTCTAACTTCAGATTCGAATTTCATAATCAGAATTTCATAAGAATAGACACCTTACACGGCATATTTGCGACAGAAATTCGTTTCATCTTGAATGGGTCATTTTGGCTGCAATTTGGGTTCATAGGGGAATGTTTCATAACATTTGAGAAGCTATAATTTATTTCCGTATTAAAGGCAATGCAATGATTGGGCTAAGCCAGCTATTAAAGTTTTTTTACGCACTGGAACTTGGAGCCTAAATTTTTTTGAAAATGTCACTAACCTGAAAATTGAAAAAAATGAAATTTGTCGCCAAAGGACCTTATTCAAAATCGGCCATTTCCAACCTCGGCCAAATCTTCGTAACATTTTCAGAGTGGATAGAGCACTACTTCCCGAGTCCAAAACACTGATGACTTTTGAATTTGGATAATTAGGGGGGGAGGGGGAGAGGGTTAAAGTTAAAATTTTAAACTGGCATATCTCGGAAACGGTTTGTCGTAGAGAGATGATCTTGGTCTCAAAATTTAGAGAAAATTATCAGCTTTCAGCTGGTATTCACGAAATTGGTCCATTTTGAAATTTTCTTCCATTGTTGCCACGTTGCTGTAATTCAAAATTTAAATTTTTTACATTTTGAGCCGAGCATTGAAGGGAACGCACGAAAAATTACTAAACTATTTTTAAAAAAAAGTAAACCGTCTAAGCTTTAAAATAAGCCCAAGATCATCCCGGGGAAACGATTTGGACTGGAGCTATGATTTTTAAAGGTGACTTGTCACGCAAACCTTGTATGTTCGGCGCCCTAAGATTACCTGCGCCTCTGCAATGACAATTGACTGCGACTTTTTGCATATTTGCACTCCTTCCTGTCATTTCCTATAGTAATCGTCCAAATATTAAGTAAACCTGTATAATTAAGTACACATATTTAGCAAATGACAATCATTTTATCAACTTTTATTACTCACATTAAAATTCTGGTTCATCGATATCAGTTTCCCCCTTCTGATTCTGCTGCTTCTGCTAAATCTCAGATTTTTTAGAGCACCTCCGGACCCTTCGACTTTGGTCATGGCGGCCATTTTGAACATGACGTCCCGGGACACGGACATTTTTATTATTGGAAGAAGGTGTTCCAGGGACTCTAAAGGAAACCCTGAAAGTTTCAGGGTGGCACACAAAAGTGACCTCGTGGCCCCTAGAGTATAATCTCTAAGAGCACAGCAAAATTGAGCATATGTTTGCAGCCTTTTAACTGAATAGAATGGATTTTTTAAAGGAGTTATTATGAAAACTGTTGATGTCTGTGCAGTCAAAACCCATCCGTGATTGTTTCAAACAGCAGCGCCGTAATTTTTAGTGTTTGTGGATGAGTGTTTTATTCAATGAGTCTCCCAACGAGATTTTGACAGTGGTATCACTATTTAACTTTAAATTGTTATTTTCCATTTCATAGGTTGGACAACAAGCATTTGCCGGTGTTCAAAATCTTAACAGGATACAGTCAATTGTTTTTCAAACAGCCTATCATACAAACGAAAATCTTCTCATTTGTGCTCCTACTGGTGCTGGTAAAACAAACGTCGCCCTTCTAACCATTGTCAGCACTATCAGGAACTTTATTCGAGCTGAAAAGATCAACATTAACGAATTTAAGGTAAATTTTAGTCTTTAGTTCTTATTGCAATCTCTTCAAAAATAAATNGGGGGGGGGGGGGTTCAGTCCATTCTGTTTCTCTGTAAACATTGATTGCTATCTACAAAGGGAAAAATGAAAATAAACTCAATTACAGCTACTGAAGGTTTCTTCAGTGCGAATAATACTCATCTAACCTTGAGCAACACCCTTTTTTATACACCAGAGCTCGGTTTGTATGGGTAAGTTGTGCTACAAAGGGTGTTCAAAAAGTTTTGCACGTATCCGGGGTTTGAGGGAATGATAGCAGCAATTGATTTACAGTTTGTATGTGCTTAAAGGAGACGTAATTACTGATAAAACAAGACCAAAAACAGCTCTCTAGCTTAAGAAATGACAGAGGTACAGGGTTTTGAAAATGACATGTAGCGGGACCACGGACCGCCTCCAGGATTTTTAGCAACAAAATAAAATAGTAGGATCGATCATCAGGGATTGGTGTACCAACATTTTGTACCTGCAAACCAAACAATGAACAAAGAATACTATTGCTCCGTCTTGACAATGCTATGGCAGCACATTTGTAAAAAAAGACCGGATATCAAAGAAACATGGATGTTGCATCGAGACAATGCTCGGCCCTACACGGCCCAGTTCATCCGGGAGTTCATGGAAAAACACAACAATGTCGTTATTCCGCACCACCTACACCCCTACAGTCCAGACCTGGCTCCGTGTGATTTTTGGCTCTTTCCTGAGTTGAAGAAATTTTTGAGAGGCACATGGTTTGATTCCATAGCCAAAATCAAAGCCACCGTTCAAAAATTCTTCAAAACCCTCCCTCAAGAAGATTTCGAAAAGACAATCTGTGGGAAGTGGGCAGAATGGCTGAAGCTTTGTATTCAGAGCGGTGGAAAATACTTCGAAAAACAGCCGGATGTTGAGTCAGCCGTGTCACCGGATGAAGAAGCTTAAAGTTTGTTAATTTCCGTAAGATTTTGTAAGATTTTCCTATAGAAACACTCGATTCTTCTTAACTTTTTTTTTCACGACAAACATAGCTAAAAAGCCTGGAGGTGGTCACGCTGCATGTCATTTTCAAAACCCTGTATCTTCGTAATTTTTTTAAGCTGGATAGCTGTTCTTGGTCTTGTTTTATCGATCATTACGCCTACTTTAAGCACACACGAACTGCAAATCGATAGCTGCTTTCGTTTGCTCAAAACCTGGAAATGTGCCAAACTTTTTGAACACCCTTTGTAGTTACAAATCATATTCTAATGGTTTAAGCATGCAGATTAGAAGAAAAAACATTAAGATCCATTCTTACGCTTGATGTAATATTTAACAAATAACGCAGCCTTGGGCTCTACGTTCAATATTTATGGAGATATTGCTCGTGAAAAAGCATGTTTCCCAATGTCATACCCCGTGATATCTCTCTCATAAAATAATTTCTTTCACCCTGGTCTCATTAATTAGTGATTCATACTTGTCCACTGGTTGCTCAATATAAAACTTACACAAATATAAGGTAAAGAAACCATGATATGCACTACCGTGGTAGAATTTAAATTTCGGGGTAGATTAGAACCGGGCAACACAGAATGCCAGTCCTAAGGATAAACGGCTTACATTTCACCCTAGAAATAGTTGTATACGGCTTAATGGTGGAGAACAGGGGCGCAATGACGGTGGTTCTTAGGGCCCAAAAATGACCGTTACTTTGAGAGACTTTAATGACCGAGACTTTTTTGTGGAAGGAAGGTAAAATTTTTCGTCAATTAGACTGTAACTCGGCCCTCTCCAAGAAAATAAACTCTTTAAACAACGGTTAAAAAAGATTTTGACCTTATATCATTTTACGCCTTTTAATGTCTTAGGTGACAAGTAAAATGTATTTTTAATGGGCAACCCTGGGGAACCCTACGCAACCCCTGCCCTTATGCATCTTATGCTGAAAATTGAGTTTTCATAACGAACTCTGAAGTGTAAAGAAGGAGGACAGGAGATCCACATGATAACGAGGGAGCATTTTATAAAGCTTTTCGACAAGACGCTCGTGCCAGACACGATCAAAGGCCTGTGCTACGTCAAAAAAAACTGCCATACAGTATTCCCCTTTTTTAAGGGCATCTTCAATCAATTTTGTGACTCTACAGAGTTGGTCAACAGTAGAACGTTGAGCTCAGAAACCAAATGAAGCATATATCATTAAATTTTTGTGTTTAACAATTTCGTTAAGTCTTTTTATATTTAATTTTTCAAATAGTGTACCTATAACTGGCAGCAATGAAATTGGTCTATATGAGGCTGCCTGGGTTGGTGGTTTATCTGGTTTTAATAAAACAAATATTTCAGCAATTTTTCATTGCGCTGGAATGTATTTGTATCGAATGACAGCATTAAAAATGGTGACCAATTCCATTACTCTATTGCTAAGGAGGTTTTTTAGAATTAAACCTGAGATTTTATCAAAAATAGGTGCTTTTTTGGCTTTAATTTTCCCTTCGATTTCTTCTAATGAGTTCCGAAGGGGACATAGTTTTAATTTTTACTGGTGGGATTTTCTTAACTTATTACCAGGGTTTCAATGCTGACATTTCCCCCTGTACCTGTGGGTCCAAGTCTGAGGACTTGGTCCTCCGACTTGGACAAGTGCACCTTGGACAAGTCCGACTCCATCGGCGGCGCGCCACGGACCTCCGAAATAACAGTGTAGCGCATAAGCCGTATTGCTCTAGTTCCGCTTCTACTGAACCGATTTCAAATTTTTTTGTTTTGTTCAAAAGGTGAATTAACGGAGAAATTTGAAGATAGCTGAGGGGGG